AGCTGCAGGTCCATCTGTCGGCCCCGTATCGCAAGAGTGTTCTAGGATCATAAGGTCGTCAATCGCTATAGTTGCTTCGGAGTTGTCGCCCATCAGACCGACGATTTCCACCTGTAGGAAGAAAGCGATATTTATGATTTTTTTACGTTTTTTTCCTTTCTTTTCATGGGAAAAAATCAGAGATAATTTGAACTACAAGAGAGTAGTGATGATGATAGTAATATTAATGATAAGAAGAAAATGATGAAGAAGAAGAAGGAGAATGAAAAATAAAATACGTGAATTCATATGATACTAAGCGAAACAAAAATGTGCATAGGAATAATGAATTACATATCAATCTATGCTGTGAATAATCTAAAAGAGCAATTAAACAGACCCAACATTCTCCCAATTCTAATCAATAAATGGGTCTTCCCTAAAGCCAAGAGCAATCCCAAACAGGTCTTACCTTCGAGGAGCCATCGACTGGAATGTCCACGGAGGCGAGTGCCCACGCCACCTGAGGCCAGCCACGCGTCCACAGACCCTCCTCTTTGCCTTCGCTTAGTCTGCAAGAAGAACGCGTGGGTTGGTATATCAAGGAACTGGATTTCGACACAAAGAAAATGTAGAAAATATATAGAAAATTCATTGATACGATAGAGAAGCATGTGGGTGGATGATTAGACCTACATGAATGGAAAAATATGGATATGTTTTTGCGTATGCTGTGTGGTATTCTTTACAATAGGTCTAGGCATCTCACAAGGTCGTAACCTACATATATAACGTTTTCATTCAGAAAAGAGAACTAATTCACCTCTATAAAAACTACAAAATAATTTTCAAAAAACCCACATCATTTACGCCATACTTACGTAACAACAACCGACAGTTCTCCAGCATCAGCGCCGTTGATCTGGTACCAGAAGGTGAAGCACCGAGGGCCTTCCACTGCCGCTAGCGTCGGCAGGGCACCGCGACTCCCCTTCCCCGGGTCCGCCTCTAGCACCAAGGTAGAGGAATCTGAAGGACACGTAGAGAAAAAGGATTCACGCATGGTTCGGAGGTTCTTGATATATTTCCGCCTTGATATGACCATTTTTATCTCCCAGGTTAAAATGATAGCTCATCTACAGTGCCCGAAATTATTTCTGAGACTAAATTTCCCATTTCTTGTAAAAATAGAGATAAAAATATGGATAAGAGTTTAGCCAAAATCTACATTACATCTAAAATTGCTTCTTCGCTTACACAAATGAACAAAAGGACACCATTTCAGAATATTCAGCAGTCATATACATATGTTTGTGTGTGTGTGTGTGTGTGTGTGTGTGTGTGTGTGTGTGTGTGTGTGTGTGTGTGTGTGTGTGTGTGTGCGTGCGTGCGTGCATGCGTGTGTGTGTCTGCGTGTGTACGTGCATGTACATTCATTCCCTTATAAGGACATGCAGCTAGTACATATAACATGCATACAAATCACACAAGCATAGGCCTACCTGCGCCGTGATCCAGAGCCGACTCGTCCTTGTGGAAGTCCCACACGCCAGCCCCAGAGAACGTCATCCCACAGTAGTCCTCTTGGGCGAAGGTGCAAGCCCAGAGCGCATTCGTGGGCGGGGTTGTGGAGGGTGAGGGAGGGGGGAGAGTGTGGCACTCGAGCTCCCTCTTGAAGGAGAAATCGTCCAGGGCGAGAACGGACGCTGTCGTGGTTCTGCGCCCCCGGATGTACACCTGGGGGGGGAGGTGGAGGGTTGGGTAATATCTTTTTGTTACTAATATTTCTTGAAGTTATGGGGTATCTGGTTGTTATTATTTCCATTATCATTATTATTATTATTATTGTTATTATTATTATTATTATCATTATCATTATCATTATTATTATTTATCATCATTAGCATTATTATTATTTATTATCATTAGCATTATTATTATTTATTATCATTATCATTGTTATTATTATTGTTATTATTACTATTATATTTTCATTATCATTATTATTACCGATATCAGTTATTAGTAGTATTACTATTGTCATTGTCATCATTCTTATTAGTATTACTATTATCATTATTATCATCATCATTAACATTAGCATCATTATCGTTATCAGTGAGCATATTATTTGAATGTATGTCATATACAGTGATATTTCAGATTCTTCTATTTGCCTTCCTTAAATTTACAACGCACTTTACGTAACTTTTTTTCCCATCAACACAATCTTCCCTTCATATCCAGTCTTCCTACTCACCTGGTAAGGAAGTTCGTCGAAGATGAATAGGGCAGCGTTGACCCTCACTTGGCCCTTCGTCCATCCCTGACTGGCACCATCATAGAGCCAGAGGACTTTCTCGGTGCCGTCGGACACCACGGAGCTGATGCTGATCTCGTCGGCTGGCACTCCCTGACGAAGGAACGGTGGAAGGAAGTTGTATTTGTGTTGGTTAATTACAATATTGTAGATCAAGTTAAGTGTCATTAAGAAGGAGTGTAAGTTTGAGGTATCGGTTTT